CTACTTCAGGCACGTCCCTCCTCTAATTCCCCTCTTAATTCAACATGGCATGTCTAGACTCCATGGGTTTCTTTGGCAGATCAGGTAATACTGAATAAGAGTCAGGACATGGTGATACAGGCCCTGTATTCCCTTGTCAGAGATAAATTGTGACTAGTCAGTCCTCCTTTGAATTCTCTGCAGCTGTGGGTGTTCACGAAAACGAGTATGTAAAACTGCATGATGAAAAGATTGAATCTGAGAAGTAATGGTCAAACCTCAGATCAACCAGCCAAAAGGCAGTAATTTCAAAAATCATAATATTGTACATTGCGTTTCAGCTTTTCTCTTTTGAATCACAGATGAAGCTCTTGTGGTAATCTTTTAATAGTTTAAAAGTGAAGTTCAGAATCCAATGAGCTTTACTGGAATGCTGAGTGGCAAACTGGGTTTCTGGTTAATTCTTCAGTCAATGAAGAAAAAGAACAGGAGAAAAACTGTGGTATTTCTGGGAAAAGATTGTGAATGACATCAGGTGTGTTGATTTATAGTAGTTATTTCTGTGTCAGCAATTAATTACAGTCATTGGTGCACATTTATGATGACTGGCTTTTACTTTCCTGTGGTTGTATGGGTAAACATTGTGGGAATGCCTCCTGTCCTCATTTTAAATACAATTTACTTTTAGTAACTCAGTCACCTCTTTCACAAATACACAGAGCAGGGGAAATGAAATAAAATAAACATTGGGGAATACTGAGGAATTCATCTTGTGAGAAGAGTCTTTTTTAAAAGAAAGGTTTTGATGAATGTCTTAAAAAGGATAAGTGCTTACTCAACTTACATGGACAGTTTATGTAGGTTGAAAAGATAAATTCCTATGAGAGGAATTGCTCTTATAAATCCAGACAGAAGTTAAGAAGAGAGAGGAGGTGGACATTTTGCAGGTAGCAAGTGTGTTAATCGATTAATGACATGCTGTTTCCTACTCTGAGCACTGATATTCAGTAAACCATTTAGAATGATTGACCACAAAGTGCCAAATCACTTTCTCTGGCTTTCACTCACTCCTTTCCAGTATTAACACAATTAGTGTAGTACTTCCACAGCAGCTTTACCTCAAGGATCTCAACTGGACTAATCTGGTACTTAATGTACATAAGTGGTACATAACTGGGCTGTGGCCTCTGCTGCAGTACAGTACAGGTTGAGGACAACTCAGAAGGAACTGTACTACCCAGCAGGAGTCCCAGGAAGCCACACTCGTGATTCCATAGTGCAGTGCACTCTGAAGCCTTCAGCACCCATGTCAAACTTGCAAAGAGAAAGGATAGCGTAGAAGTTACTTACACAAGTTCTACTGTGTTCAGGCTGTAAGACTGCTAATTTTGCTGCATCACACTCTGTGAACTAATAATTCGCTGCAATTTTGGGAGCATTTTCTGAATTACCTCTGGTATTCTGAGCAGCAGATTGATGTTAGCAGATCTAACCAACACCTAAGGTGTCTGTGCAAAGTGAATTACTCCTTTTCCACAAAGTTAAGTCTAAATTAAAAATTTGAATCTTTTATGCTGAAAATTCTAGTTTAACCATCAGTCTTGTGCTCTTTTTAGAGACCTCAGTAAACTGGAAATTAAATCTCTGGAAAAGCTGATCTGTAGTACTGACTTTTCCCTTTCATTACAAACCTTTCCTAACGAATACATGTCCTGGGTTCAGCAGTAGCAGTCATTTTTCTCCTTCTTGGTAGCTGGTGCAGTGCTGTGCTTTGACTTTTGGCCTGGGAACAGAGCTGATAACGCTGATGTTTTGGTTTGGCCAAAGACTTTGTGAGCCTCATGCTCTGCCAGGGAGGAGGGGAAGCCGGGAGGAGGCAGAGACAGGACACCTGACCCAAACTGACCAAAGAGGTATTCCATACCACAGCACGTCATGCCCAGCATGTAACTGAGAGTTAGCCGGAAGGGCTAGGACGGCAGGGTTGGAGGAGGTATTGGTGGGTGCTTGGTCTGGTGGGGTGGGGCGAGTTATCGGTCGGCTGGTGGTGAGGTGTTGTATTCTCTTCCCTTGTTATTTCCTTTATCATTATTATTATTGGTGGTAGCAGCAGTGATTTGTGTTATACCTTAGTTAGTAAACTGTTCTTATCTCAACCTGTGGGAGTTGCATTCTTTTTGATTCTCCTCTCTGTCCCTCCAGGAGTAGGGGGAAGGAAAGAAGGGGGGGGAGTGAGTGAACGAGTTGCCTGACTGGGTTTATTCAATAAACATAATCTTATGACAATGCATAAAGATGTTTTGATGAACTCTGCTTTTTTAGTTTTATGACTTTGTATAAATACATTTTTCCTCAGCATGAGTGCCTAAATAGATTATGCTCATGTGGAAATTAAACCTGCATGTAGCATTGATTTATTCTTGACGTAAACTTTACTATCATCACAGTCTGGTCACAAAAGGAACAGGTGTTAGCAGGCGCTAACTTTTGTTTACTGTAAAGTTACTCTAGACAGATTCTATAAGGACCTTCCTACATCTTGATGGCTAAATCAAATTATTTAATAGTATTTAATAATAAAAATAAACACACTTGCAGAGTTTGCAGGCCCCAAGATTAGGACAAGAACTCTCCAGGTGTCCTGGGTTCAGCAGTAGCAGTCATGTTTCTCCTTTGTGGTAGCTGGTGCAGTGCTGTGTTTTGACTTCCAGCCTGGGAACAGTGCTGGTGATACCGATGTTTTTGGTTGTTGATAAGTGATGTTTACCCTGACCAAGGACTTTGTGAGGCTCATGCTCTGCCAGGGAGGAGGGGAAGCCGGGAGGAAGCAGAGACAGGGTGCCTGACCCAGGCGAGACAAAGAGGTATTCCATACCACAGCACGTCATGCCCGGGGTGGGGGGTAACTGGGAGTTACCTGGAAGGACATGGGCTTCCGGGTGGGACTCGTTTCTTGGCGAGTGGTATTGTATTCTCTTCCCTTGCTATTTTCCCTTATCATTGTTGTACTTGATAGTAGCAGTGGTGATTTGTGTACATTGGTTGCTGGACTGTTCTTGTCTCAACCCATAGGAGTTGCACTCTTTTGATCCTCCTCCCTGTTCCTCCGGGAGCAGGGAAGGGGAGAGCCCGGGGGGAGGGGCCTCGGTTGCTCTTACCACTCACTGGGAGTGAGTGAACAAGCTGTCTGGCTAGGGTTTAAACCACGACGACACCAGGACACAGATGATCACTGGTAAGCATTTTGTACAATGCCTGGTAACAGCTTGGACCCAACCAAGTTAAATATTCGTGCAGTTTTACACCCTTTGCTTTCTTTTGATTCTAACTGGGAGGTGACAATGGCTGATCATTGCAGTGGCATGATGGTTTAGATGTAAGAATGCCTCCAGTTTAGATTTATAATACAGGTGGTAAATCATCTGCCTAATACATGGTGTTTGTGGGGCTACATAAAACTTTCAGGTAACTGCAAATACAGCTGGAATAAACAGAAGCTTGGAGTCCCAATTAAGACTCATGTGCCCCAAAGCTTGTTCATTTTTTCTTACTGCATCAGTTAGTGTGACAGAACATTTCACCTTGCTTCATAAACCTCGTACAGCTTCTATTACCCAACTGTCACAATTACAACAAGCTAACAGCTGCTTATTTTGGAGAACTACATAGGCACTTTCATATATCACAAATACAGCTTGGAGATGTAGGCAAGAGATGGCAAAAGCTCAGAGTAATGCTATAGCTGCTTAACAATGTATTCCTGAATGGAAAGACTATTATAATCCCAGCAAAAGTACCTTTTGCAGAACAAAATGTGGTCTGTAGTGCTGATGATTACTGTGTTTAAGTAAATGCTCTCTCAAAGAATATTTTCCTTTTAACTGATCCTACTGCTGAAACCCTACTGGTTCACGATAGCTTGTTGTCATGGATGGGTAATGATGTCACACATCCTGCCCTGTGTCCATGCTAGAAAATAAACGAGAATGTTTTTTTTTTTTTTCAATGACTAGGAGTTACTTAGCAATTCTCTAGAAGGGCTGAAGTGAATTACAAGTAAGAAAACAGGATGCCCTATTGACCCTACCTGCACTGTATCTTCATGCAAGCGAAGTGACGCAGTAAAACTCCATAGTAAATGCTCTGCAGATTTAAAAACAAGGTTGTGCTTCTGCAAATTACCTTGTTATCCAACAGATTTCAGTGGGCTGAAGATAAGCAAGAGGCTAGGTGAAATGTGGCTTAGGCGATCATGCATGTGTCATTGGAAACTGCCTGCCTTCCTTCTGAAGTTTTTGGAAGACAGTAATGCTGCTTGTATCCTTCTCTCTATCAGCGGTGATTCTGACAGGAAAATGATCCCGAGCAGGGTACAGACATCACTGCTTCAGGCAGCAATTGCCACACGACTGTCTCCTCTCACACCACCTTTCAAATTAGATCTGTCCTTTGAGGTCGGCATCTGGAAGGCAAAGAACAGAGGAAATCTCTTCTAAATACAGACAACAGGCTGCAAGAACACCAGCACGGTTACTGCTTCCCAGACCTTGGCTTCTGCACCCTCCTCTCCTCAGGGACACCGGTGTTTGGAATAAGGAAGCTTCTGAGGTGAGACCGTCCAAAAGTTCCAAAGCTGGATGAGCTGTTGGGATACCGCCCTCCCCGCGTGTCCTATCAGGTATCGCTTTCTAGGAGCCTTCTCGTCTAGGGCTGCCCTGTCCGTGCCGCGGAGCACTGGGCTCCCCCCGTTCCCACACACATTCATTGGCACACCCGCGGGGACAGAGCCGGGCCAGCGCCCGGGGCTGGCGGCTGGGGCCGGGCCGGGTCGGGTCGGGAGCAGGGTACGGTCTCGACCCGGTCGCGGTGCGGAGCCGGGGCTGAAGCCGGATCATTGCGGGGTCGCCGCTCCGCCCGGTGGCAGGCGAGCAGGGACGGGCCATTGCGCGTCCCGCCGCTCGGGCGGGGCGGGGCTGGGCTGGGCTCGGCTCGGGGAGGGCGGCGGGACCCGCCGTGGCTGCGCGAGCGGCCGGTGCCGGTGAGGCTGCAGCATGAAGCTGAGCTTGGGCCGCCTGTCCCTCCTCGTGGCCCTGGTGGGAGCGTCAAGCTTCGTCCTCCTCGTGGTGGCCATCGCGACCGACTTCTGGTACATCATCGATGCCTCCAAGCTGGAGACGTCCCTCAACGGCACGGACGCCCTCAGCTCCCACTCGGGCCTGTGGCGGACCTGCCGCGGTGAGTGAGCGGCGCGGGGCGCCCCGCGTTTGCGTTAACTTTTAATCCAAACTTACTTAATAAGCGTGAACCATTTAGAAGGAAAGAGAGGTCTTTTGTGTCTTACTCGGGGGAGGGGGGGATTAAGGGGCGAAAGCTCTGGGTGAAAGCCATCAAAAAAGTAACAACATATAGAATATTAATTGAAATAATGGTAATATATAATTTATATAAACAAGTACTATGAATATAAATTATATGAGAGTTAATAATATTAGTTGTGTATCTGCAAATAATGTAATTAACTTAATCCTATGCTAACTAAAGGTAAGTGACTGAAGATTTACCAAGTTCACCAAGTGATTATACTGCATTTGGTCTTGCTTGGTGTTTCAGTGCTCTGGATTTTAATGATAGATCCATTAGCCTTATGTGGATATGACAGGATTTTCCCCATTTAGTTTAGTTTGTATGACGGGCATATTCTTTGGGTTTTGACTCCTCCATTGAAAACAAGAAGTAATGTTCATCAGGGCAAGAAAGGATGTTATTTGCAGTGGAGAAGAGGAGAGGGTGCAGGTTAAAGGACTTCTTCCCTCTGCTGTACCCCTAGCCCCACTGAAATTAGCAGATTTTCCATCTTGACTTCAGTGTCAGGCCCCATGGGGTCAGAAGCTGGCCAATGCTGAGTGCTGAAAATCCCCTCCTTCCCTTCCCTACCTAGGAATGACTGTTTTTAGAACAGATAATTTTATATGAAGTATATGTATGTGCAAAAACCCCATACATTGCAAGAAGATAAAGTGTAATTTTTTCTCATTTTTTTCCCCCCTCTCTATTACTGTGGAGCAAATGTATACACACAAAAATAGAGGAAATATTGCAATAAGATATTATGGCGTTAATTTTTCTCATTGTTTTTTTCCCTTCTCTGTTAGTGAGGAATGAATGTTATCCTTTGATAAACCCTTTCTGGCATGAGAATGCAAACATCACTGATTCACACAGACAGCTTTTATGTGAGTAACTTCTATATTAATTCTACATTTCCATCCACCCTTCCCTCCCTGTTTGGCCCATTACAAGGTCCCATTTCTGTTTCAGAGAGGCAGTTCTTTGAGGTAGTGTTTTCCTTCTGCTTCTATACGATATCTGTCACCGCATGTGGTATTTAAATGGTGTTACTGTTAAAATAGCCATCTAGTTGATGTCAAGTTCAGCTAAATTCTTCCCCAGGAGCAAGTTGTTTCTGTCTGGAATGGCTCAGGAAGGTGCAATATTACCATAAATGAAAGGCAAAAATGTTCAAAATCCCCCCAAAAGAGTTTGATCACTGAAAATGCTTAAGCACACATTTGAACAAATCTTTCAGTCACTTACCTACCCTTTCAGTGGGATTACTTACACTGAAGAAAATTTGAAGTATGTGGGAATTTTAAGGAAAGAAATAGATGACTAAAAGCAGTGTTCAAAGTCTTGGAAGAACATTGTGTTCAAAAACATAAAGTTTCTAACTGCATTGGTTGATATTTACTCCTTTTTCTCTAGATTCATTTGTAAATGTCAGAATGTTTTCACAAAGTCCAAACTAAAGATTTACAAATATTTCTAGGCTTGTCCAAAAATTTGATTTACGTTCTTTGACTCATATTCTGCACAATGCTTCGCTCATACATGCTTGTGTATGCACTTGCACTCTTACTTTTTGCTTACTTCACTCTCCTCGCTGACTCTGTTTTCCCCTTGCAAGCAGAAAATATGCGTTTGTTCTGTGTCTTAAAATGGTACTCTTTCCCTCAAAGCCAGCCATTTCCCTGAGCAATCCTTCAGAGAGGCTTAGAGTGTCTTTAGTCTCTTGGAATAGCTTCTGAAGATAAGAGCTAGAAGGGCAGTATGTGTAAAAAAGTAAGCCAGTGAGGTACTGATGTTAATGTAGCTGTGCTGCAACAGCAACTGGAAAGTTAAAGTAGGAGTAAGATCCCGGTGGGCTACTTCACAGTGGTACACGCATATTGACAGGGTCAAGGCTCAGGAGAAGATTGTCTCTCTGTGCTTTCAAATTGAAAGGTGCCATTTCTTTAATCGTCCTTGCTTAAGACAGAGGGCCTTAGCTGCTTCATGTTGCTGAAAACTGTGAGGATCACTGAAAATGATTGTCTGCAGGACCACTTAAGTCTCTGAGGGTTTAACGTTAATTGGAAGTAGCAAGACTGATCATGTTTTAAGTGTGGGCATCTCAGCTGTCATGTTGGAGATAGTATAAAAATTCAGGATAAAATTATTAGCATTTCAAAAGTTGTGTTCATATCTGTAATTTTCCTCAGGGGAGGAGATTTTAGATTATGACGCTTCAATGAAAGCTGAATTCTGCAAAAACAAAAGCAAAGACTGTACAGAGCTTTTCTGGTTATAAAAATTATGTTGGCTTGGAAACAAAGGACAGCTCTTTGCTAGTCATGAAATGTAAGAAAATAGTGAATATGAGTAAAAATTGGATTCATAGCTATGTTTACAGACTCTTCAGAGCCTCAGAGAATTTGTTTATCTCTTGCTTTTACATCAAGTACTATTTTTAGGCTCCTGGACAAAGACTTCAGGTCTGCAAAGACACTTCCAGATTTTACTATAAGTAGGCATAGTCTGCATAAAAATGATGAGAAATCAGAGATACTTTAACTGAAAGAACTTAAGGTTTGATTTGAATGCCCTACAGAGTGAACTTCTTGATACTTGGATGCTCAGCTTCAATGCAGTTTCAGTGTCGTGAGGCTACAGACTCATAGCAATAGCAGCTGAACATAGCAAGTGCCATGACAGTACTTCTAGAGAATCGTGATCTAAATGACATCTAAGTTTAAGTACTGAGATATTGCCTTCTACTTCAGCCTTACACTTTTTTCTTAACTAATTTCTGACTGTGCTCACTGAATTGTATTTTGGCAGATAGGGCAAACCTTCATCTTCATCTACAACACTAGCTAACTAGAACTTTAGAGGACAATTCTGAAATCGTGGATTTCAGTGTAGTTACAGTAATTTGTTCATGTGTTGCTGTATGGGGCAAACTGGCTAATCGCACAACTTTAATCGGTTACTTTAAGAAATGACTTTTCTTCTCTGTGTGTGCCTGTGCAGGTGTCTGTGAGGCATATTCACGTGGAATGAATCTCTTTCTGTCCCTCTATACACCCATATTTCTCACTGTTAAATTGGCAGGCTGAATTTCAGGAGCTCTGGCACCATTAAACATGCTTCTTGCTGATTATTCCTAAAAAGATGTAGAAGGGTTGTCTCCTAACACAGGTGCTTAAGTAACACATTGAGAATCCTGTCCCCCATTCTTCAGAGTTCCCATACTCTTCCTGGCATGTCTTAATTAGGCAAAAGTGCCAAAAAGATGGGAGAATGTCTGTATCTGAGTGCAAAGAGCTGGGTCTAAGTGGAAAGAGAAGTGCTAGTCAGTGCCAGAAGACAAACCTTTCATTAGAGAATGAAAAGCCTTCACGTTCTCTCCCTCCCCATTTCCAATCTCTCTCCTATTCATCCCCAGCAGATTCCTTTTAGGCTTATTGCAGACTTCAAGTAGAGCTACTGGCAAGCTAAAGAAAAGAAGGGTGTACAAATGAAAGTTCTGTGCTGCCAGCAATACTACTCAGGCAATCAACCTAGGTCTTGTTAAGCCTGAGAGTGCAATGTATTTTTCACATCACAAGAGTACTCCTCAGCAGTTTCTCTAATGGATCAAACACGTGCCTTCTCCTGTACTTTAAGCTTGTATTTCTTTTTTTGCTACTCCCTCCATCTGAACATATGGTGTGTACCCTCAAACCCAGAGCATAAAAAGTATTTTCCTACTAAAGATCACATGATGGCATGGTTTAAATTTGTTTAAATCATCACAATACACCACCTGCCTGCCTACCACCAGCTCTTCTGAAAATTCCACATTTTAAAAAAATTCTTTTTTCTAGAAATGTACATTTTACTCTGTCCCATGCAGTATTAAAAGAAAAGTGTCACTTTTCACCATTTAGACAGTTACTAAGGTCTCTTGGGGATTAAAGAGCTAGTATTAAAGTACTAGGATTAAAGATAGTCCTCTGAAAGTCACCTTTAAAACTGAAATCTGTTGTCAAAGACACCTTGGATATCTTGTCTTGCCATTCATTCTCCTGTGCCAGCCACGAGAGACAAGCAGAAAGAGCAACTTCTTTCCATGATGAGCTGAATTCAATCTCTTGCTACATGGTAGAAGAAGGATGTCACTCTGACTTCAGAGGAAGCTGCACCAGGAGTTCTGAGCAGCTTTGCCATTTTCCTCAGGCATCTAAATGTTGAGCATCATGTCCAGAGAGAGGGAAATTGGTGCATAGAAGGAATGGCAGTTTTTAATCAACTAAAAAAGTCTGCCTAAAGAGTTGCAGATTTAAAAAAAAAAATTCTTAAAAAAGGAAATAAAATCAAAACCAAAAACCAACCCCCCAAAACCCCAAAACAAACCAACCAACCAAAACCCCCAAGCCCCAACAAATCGAACCCAAAGCCCAACTGGGAAGGTTACTCTTGGGGCATTTATGTAATATAAATATTTTTCATTTACCAAAGTCTTTATTGTTAATAAGAAGTAAATACCAATATAGATTTACCTAAAGACAGCACCAGTGTAATCCCTGCAAAATGAACAATTTTGAAGTATTTCTAATCAAAATCAGTTTATACTCTTGGACTTGGTGCTTCCTGCAGGATAGACGAGTTGTCAAAAGAAGAAAGTAATGTGGTTGCTGCATACTAATGTATCCTGTCAAAACCATTCTATGAGCTTGACTTTTTGGAAACCCAAGTAACCTGCTCCTTTGTGTCTGTTACGGCAGGACAGTGACCCCTGCTTGGTAATAGGAAAATTACTTCTTTCTATGTTCTGAACAGCGGCTAAGGTCTTCTTAAAGCACAATGAAATTTGTTAACATGAGGAGGGTTTTTTTTTTTTGTGTGTGTGTGCCTTCCCCCCCAACCCTTTAGAGTTTAAAACCAAATTGCCACAAAGCTGACAACCACTGGCAACCCTGTTTTTTTTGTTAGTAACATGAACATCATGGCTGGTGAATGATTTCCTGTTACAAGTCATTTTTAGTACTCCACTCCTGGGACCTCCAGAGATGATCAGTTAATGGATGTGGTTTCTGCTTATATATGGCTAGAAGAAAATGTTTGTCTTGTTACAAAACCAAAAAGTGTGCAGCTGCCCATGCACAACTGCTTAAATCCTTTTGCCCAAAGTGTTTTAATTTTTCCCTTTTAGACATCAGTGTAGCTGGAACCCTGTGGCTGCAGACAAGCTGGTGCTTCCTGAAGGGAAACAGTCTTTGCAGTAGGGGCAGTTCCTGATGCCTTAGTTATTACAGTGTTACAGCTGCCTTGCTTTCTTCCTCAATAAAATTAGTTTAATAGTGCAGTTAAACAAGGCTGGATTTCCTTACATCATGTAGACCTTGTAACAGTCACCAACCAGCTGCTTTCACACTTCTCCCCACTCTTTATGATCCTGCTTAATTTTTACCAATTTACATGCTTATAGTTATATAATCCCAGAATGCCTTTGACTACCATTACATTTTTCATGAGGGGTTCACAGTTTTTTGTATTTTTTCCTTTTGGTTTAAAGTAATTAGAAGGAAACAGCTAGGGCTGGAGTAGCCGTCAAGAGCTAGTTCAGAGACTGGGTGAAATAAGACCCAAATGATGTACATAGAAATTCTAACTTACTGTTATGGTAGGTGCATACCTAAACAGATCTATTTTGTTTCAGAGCAACAGTGGTTGCTCCTCCTTCAAAGAGGTTCCAGTGAGCACTTGCTTCAGTGCTTGCAGTAGATATTACAATAAATAGACATAGAAATCCAAGATAACTTTAGCATCACTGCATCCAAGACCTAATGAGTGACAACTTCTGATGAATATTCTCATTTTCAAATTCTTTGCTGCCGTAGCAATAGAATGTGAACCACAATGCATCACTTAT